CCTTTCATCAAATCAATATTGTTGCCGTGCCTCTGACGCTCAACAAATTGGTACCAGAGCTTACGGTTCGTGATCATGGCCTCAACGAATAATCAGCTTCCTCTTCAATACCCTCGTCTTACCAAAGAAAATTATGGTAACTGGGCTGTTAGAATGAAAGCTCTACTCGGCGCCTACGGTGTGTGGGAATTTGTTAACACTGGCTATGATGAGCCAGAGGATGAAGCCACGTTGAACCAGAATCAGAGGAATGCCTTGGAGAAGGCTCGAACGAAAGATCAATATGCCCTGTCGATCATCTATCAAGCGTTAGATGATTCCATGTTCGAAAAAGTTTCGAACGCCACTACCGCTAAAGAGGCATGGGAGATTCTTCAAAACACACATCAAGGAGTTCAGAAAGTTCAGAAGATTTGCCTTCAAATCTTGAGAGGCGAATTCGAGGTAATTCGTATGAAAGAATCTGAATCGATTGCTGATTATTTCACGAGAATTTTGGCAATTGTTAATCAGATGAAAAGAAACGGAGAAGAAGTTTCCGATGTTCGTGTTGTTGAGAAAATACTTCGGTCCTTAGACAAGAAGTATGATTATATTGCGGTTGCAATCGAAGAATCCAAAGACTTGGATGCCATGACGGTCGATGAACTTATGGGTTCATTACAAGCTCACGAAGAAAGGTTTAGAAAGAAAAAGATTGAACCGGTGGAGGAAGTTCTCCAAACGCAGTTGACCATACGAGATGAAAAGGAGCAAAGAAGAGATCCCGTACAAAATCGCGGGACAAATCAAGATCGTGATCGAGGTCGTGGCCGAGGTCACTTTCGAGGAAGAGGTCGCGAACGAAGCAGAGGAGATCCTGCTTGAAGTGATGGAGGATACCAGTACCAAAGAGGTGTTCGTGGAAGAGGAAAGAACTCGACAAGCCAATGGTATGATAAATCTAAAATCCGATGTTATCATTGCAATAAACTTGGCCATTATGCTTCTAACTGCTGCAATAAAGAAAGTAGCAGACCAGACGAAAATGCGAACTTGGTAAATAATGATGATCAAGTTCTCTTATTGGCATTCAAAGAAGATGAAGAAGGTCAAAGCGATACGTGGTATTTGGATACCGGCGCAAGTAATCACATGTGTGGGAGAAAGGAGATGTTTACCGAGTTGATGAGACAATTACAGGGAATGTCTCATTCGATGATAACTCTAAAATTCTTGTTGAAAGGAAAGGTACAATTTTGATTCGCTTAAAGAATGGTGCACGTCAGTTTATTACTAATGTTTATTATGTTCCAAAAATGTCAAGCAATATCTTGAGTTTGGGACAACTTCTGGAGAAAGGTTATACTGTTCATATGAGAGATCTTAATCTTATGTTGAGAGATCGGAATAATAAATTGATTGCAAATGTGAAGATGTCGAAGAACAGGATGTTTATTCTTAATATAAAGAGTGAGATGTCTCGATGTCTAAAGACGTGCGTAGATGATCCTTCATGGTTGTGGCATTTGAGGTTTGGCCATCTCAATTTTGGCGGACTCAATTTGCTTTCTCGCAAGAAGATGGTTTATGGCTTACCACATATTGATCATCCCGATCAATTATGTGAAGGGTGTGTTATCGGCAAGCATTCCAGAACTAGCTTTCCGAAGGAGGCGACTTATCGAGCGAAGAAGCCGCTTGAGTTGATTCATTCTGATTTGTGTGGCCCGATCAATCCTCACTCATATGGTAATCATCGATATTTTGTTACTTTTATTGATGATTTTACTTGAAAAACTTGGGTGTATTTTTTGAAAGAAAAGACAGAAGTGTTTGATATTTTCAAACAATTCAAGAACCTGGCTGAAAAGGAAAGCGGCTATTTTATCAAGGCTTTGAGGACTGATCGTGGTGGAGAGTTCACCTCAGCCATATTCAACAAATTCTGTGAAAATCATGGTATTCGGCGTTTCTTGATGGCCCCGTATTCTCCTCAACAAAACGGTGTGGCTGAACAGAAAAATAGAACCATTCTTGATATGGTTCGAAGCATGTTGAAGAGCAAAAATTTGTCCAAGGAACTTTGGGCAGAAGCTGTTTCGTGTGCCGTCTATCTTCAAAATAGATGTCCAACATATGGACTTGAAGGCGTAACTCCACAAGAGGCATGGACCGGGAGAACACCAAGTGTTTCGCACTTGAGAATTTTTGGGAGCATTGCATATGCTCATGTCCCGGATCAAAAAAGATCGAAACTTGAAGACAAGAGCAAAAAGCTCATCTTTATCGGGTATGACTCATCATCCAAAACCTATCGATTATTTGACCCTAACACTTTGAAAGTGTATGTAAGTAGAGATGTCAAGTTCGATGAAGATGGAATGTGGGAAGAAAATCTAAAAGAAGAAGCGAATGTTCGTGATGATTCCGATCAAACGGAGTTGAAAGATCAACCTTCACCTTCTTCTCCAACATCTTATTCAAGTTCATCAACACCATCCTCTTCAAATAGTGTCGATGAACCGCTAGTGCCAAGATCAAGAAGATTGTCTGAAATTTACGAAGCTACCGAAGAGCTTCATCTTATATGTCTTCTTGCAGATTATGAACCACTTGCTTATGATGATGCGGCCAAAGAATAAAAGTGGAGGAAAGCCATGAACGAAGAAATTGAAGCCATCGAGAAAAATCAAACATGGGAGCTTGCTAATCTTCCGAAGGACAAGAAATCAATTGGTGTTAAATGGGTGTACAAGGCCAAGAAGAATGAGAAAGGTGAAGTAACAAGGTACAAAGCTAGATTAGTCGCGAAGGGGTACAAGCAAAAAGTCGGAATCGACTATGATGAAATTTTTGCCCCTGTCATCCGCATGGAAACGATTAGATTGATTATTTCCATTGCTGCTCAAAATAATTGGCGGATTTATCAAATGGATGTCAAATCAACATTCTTGAATTTCATCCTTGAAGAAGAAATTTATGTCGAACAACCCGAGGGGTTTGTTGTGAAAGGTTATGAAGACAAAGTGCTAAGGTTGAAGAAAGCTCTATATGGGCTTAAACAGGCACCGAGAGCATGGAATTCCAGAATTGATTCATATTTCAAGGCGAATGGATTCTCTCAATGTCCATACGAGCATGCACTCTATTTGAAGCAAGAAAAAGGTGATATTCTACTCGTCTGTTTATATGTTGATAATCTTGTTTTTACAGGAAATAATTCGGCGATGATTGATGCTTTTAAGGCATCGATGGTGAAAGAATTTGAGATGACCGATAATGGTCTCATGAATTATTTCCTTGGTATCGAAGTGAAGCAAAGTGCCGATGGGATTTTTATTTCCCAAAAAGGATATGCAGAAAATATCCTTGAAAAATTCAACATGAAGAACTGTATGCCGGTCAATACACCAATGGAGTGTGGAACCAAGCTTTCGAAGTGTGATGATGGTGCCGATGTTGATTCGACATATTATAGAAGCTTGATTGGAAGTTTGAGATGCTTGACATGCACGGGACCGGATATTATGTATAGTGTTGGAATTGTTAGTCGATACATGGAGAAGCCGAAATCATCTCATCTTAAAGCTGCAAAGAGAATACTTCGGTACATCAAAGGTACTATTTCTCATGGTTTACACTATTATTGCTCTGAATCTTTCAAACTTAGAGCTTATTCGGATAGTGATTATGATGGAGATATCGACGATCGAAAAAGCACCACGGGATTTGTATTTTTCTTGTGCGACACTGCTTTCACGTGGTCATCAAAGAAGCAATCAAGTGTTACTCTGTCAACATGTGAAGCTGAATATGTAGCTGCATCTTCATGCGTTTGTCATGCAATATGGTTGAGAAGACTACTCAAAGATATTCTTATGGAGCAGAAGAAAGCAATAGAGATTTTTGTTGATAATGTTTCTGCTATTGCTTTGGCAAAAAATCCAGTTTTTCATGAATGAAGTAAACATATCGATGTTCGATATCACTTCATCTGAGAACAGGTTAAAGAGAATGAAGTTGAAGTATTGCATGTGAAGACCGGAGATCAAGTAGCAGATATTTTTACTAAACCTCTCAAGATCGATGCTTTTCGAAAGTTCAAGAGCCTACTTGGAATGATCGATGGAAGAGAATTTGGTTTAGGGGGGAGTGTTAGAAATTAAACCAAATTTGTTAGTACTTATTTCCTTTTTGAATCTGTTCGTATTTCCATATTTTGATAGATATTGTGAGATATTGTTTCTAGTTATATTTTAGGAAAGTTTCCTAAGTCAATTAGATTTCCTAATTAGAATAGGTTTCCTAGAAAGAGGTTTCCTATTTCGAATTAAACTATGGTTTATATATAGTCTATTTCTCTTGTAATTGAGACATGCAATAGAAAGACGCGAATTGCGATTGTTTCACCTTCAAAAATTCCTTTCATCAAATCAATATTGTTGCCGCGCCTCTGACGCTCAACAGAGGGACCTACTATATTTAGCGATTCATATTTAAAGTGTGTATGGATAAAGTTTTACTTTATTGTCCTTTACTTAATCAAAATATGGTGACGTGCGTGTCTTAACTTTTTTTTTTAATTATAAACACTTTAAACTTTCACAGTATACGAAGATTGAGATGTAGATTCACATGTATTTCTTGTGTAATTTTTTAGAATTTAGATAATATTTTAAATCTAACGAAAATGTAAAAAAAAAAAAAGCAAGTCCTCACTTCGGTTGTGTAATAAGTTTTCCCCGCATGGTGGCTTGACTGACGTTACACGCAAAGGACAAAGAAGCAATGATGTGCGGACCACTGCTTTTAAGCGTTTTCTTTTAAATAGTCTTGAGAGGCAATCGATTCTTTGGGTGAAGGAACTCGGGTCTTTTCACTTTTCTCAATTTGTTGCTTTGGGTGAGGGACCCTCAGTTGTGTATCCATCCATAAAGAAGAAAAAGAGAAGAATTCGTGAACTGAACACCCCCGTTTGACAGAACCATAAAATGTGGGTTGGGGAGGTTGATCTGGTTAAACTCGACTTGGTCGCTAACAACTCTGCTGAATGTGATTGTTAGGACCCCAGGGCAATTATCAAAGTCACAGACCTAGCCACACCCGCAGAGATGGATGTGACGCTGTCTATAGATGACCAGGAGATATGGGAGCAGAGAAGGCAGAGACTAGAAGCGTTAATCGGGGCCAACCCGAGCCAGCAACAGCACGATCCTGCACAACCCGCCCAGATTATGGATCCTCTGCTATACACGGCCGTGAAGGAAGGGGACGTCGACAAGTTCATCAAGGCCCTGGAGGATCATTGCGCCAGAGCAGGAGTGTCGTTGCCCGTGGTTCTCAGGCAACTCAGCCCATCCTGGAATACATTTCTTCACGCTGCGGCAGGTATGTTAAAGAGGGTGTGACCATTAAGATTTATTTGCAATTTAAAATGCTCGCAATATTCGCCCTCAAATTAACCTGACATCAATATTTACAGAGAGTGATGATATTCTCAGAGTGGTCATTGATTTCGTCCCTGACCACTTGATCTCCTGGGCGAACTCCAGTGGAGAGACGCCACTGCACATTGCAGCTAGAGCCGGGAAAACCGGTGTGGTGGAGCTTCTCCTTACCCGGGCGAATCCGAGAGTCCTTAGCAGCAGTGGCAACTCCCCTCTGCATGAGGCCGTGAGGAATCGCCATTACGAGGTGATCCATCGGCTGGTAAGTCAAGACCCCAATCCGCTGTTTCATCAGAATAAAGAAAGCAAGTCTCCATGGTGCGTAGCAGTCGAAACAGGGGACTTGGAGGTTCTTAAGCTCTTGCTGGAAGTCTTCCTGGAAATCTTGCCGGATCCGCCAGTCCCGTTCGAAACAGTGACTCTAAGTGCTTTCGGCATGTCGCCTGCTCATGTCGCTGTTATGTACCGGAAAATGGGTAAACCCTACTTTCAACTCGCATATTGTTTGAACTTCTTGGTCACCCCCTTTTTTTCCCTTCATTTTCGTTTCTATTGGTGGTGGAAAAATCAAGTTTCACGAGCAAAGTCTAGTTCAGTGAGGTACGTGTACATTTGTATGATAGCTTACTATGCTATGGGACAAGATTGTGACTCAACTCCCGATACTTTGGATCGTCTGGAACGGATCATTCCTATTATAGAATTACAGGACTTTGCATTCATCCCAAAATGATTAAATTCTTGCGTTGGATCTAGATATGCTGACAGAGATGTGGAACAAGATGCCGGTGCTACTTATATGGAAAGATGAGGGACATGGCACTCCACTCCATTTCGCAGTGTACACGAACTATCTCGACGGAGTCAAGTTCTTGATCGAGAAGTTCCCATTGAGCGCCCTGGAGCAAGACAAGGAGGGCTATCTACCTATCCATGTCGCTTGCATGATGGATCACGTGAGGATTGTTGAGGAGCTACTTCAGCAATGGCCAGACCCTGCAGAGTTTCGAGCCAAGCGAGGAGAAAACATTCTTCACGTGTCAGCAAGGTACGGATGCATTTCAACCGTCAAATACATAATGAAAAGTCCTGAATTCGGTCACCTCCTAAATGTGAGAGATTTCGACTTGAATACGCCTCTGCATCTGGCTGCGTTGCATTGTCAACCTTTGGTCTTGCTTCTTCTTGCACGAGATGGAAGAGTCGATCTTAAGCTGGTAAATGAGAGAAACATGACTGCTCTAGACGTGGTAGAGGAGAACATGAAAGAAAAGGATGCTCCACTTCGGAAGGTATGGCCATTTACACCTTTGTCATGGGTAATCATACATTGCAAATTGTTGTACAAATGAGGGACAGACCTAGAAAATAAATTAGTGAGGTATGTGAATTAGTGTGCTCTCAGCTAGATCTGTAATTTAGTGGCCAAAATCATAATATTTTGGTTTCTTTGTTTATTCTTTGACTCATTACTTGCAGAGGTTAATGCGGATAATTTTGGCGTCTGCTGGAACACCGAGAAGCGGAGAATTAGCTATCTGTAAGGGAACCGATTGGAGCCTAGGGAAAGAAATGAAACCACCGGAATTGGATAGACTCAAGGAGGAGGCAAATACTCGCATGGTTGTGGCGGCACTCATGGCCGCTATGACTTTCGCATCTGGTTTTTCCGTTCCCGGAGGATACAATGGTTCTAACCCAAATGCTGGAATCGCTGTATTGCTCCACAAAGCCATGTACAATGTCTTTGTGATTTCCAATTCCATCACCATGTATAGCTCGATCATCGCACTCGTGATCCTTCTGTGGACACAGATTAATGATCCTCACGCGGTGCGAAATGCCCTTTCGAAATCAAGACTCCCATTGTTGGTAGCTCTTGCCGCGATGCCTCTGGCATTCATGGCGGGCGTCTACGTTAGCATAACCAAACTCTCTTGGCTTGCAATTGTTGTCTTGGTCTTGGGTTCCGTTGCCCTCTTCATTATCTTGAGCTTCTACCTTTTGTTGTATATCCCGCTTGGGTGCAACCATCCTCTTGTGCGTCGCTTCACCGACTTAATTATCGTTGTGGGCATTTCAATGTCGGGGAGAGTGACTGCAGGCAGTGGGACAGCTGGACGAGCAACTACATCTACCGGTGCCAATCGTGACGCTGGTGACTACCGCATGTACGAGTACATGAACATCACAACGAATATCATAAGGGATATCCCTGTTTCCCACTAATTATGTGTCCATGTCTATACTTTTAGCTCCCTCTTAGTTACATTAGCTGTTGCTGTTTCGGTTTGGCTGGCCTACCCGTCTATTGTACGAATAAGTGATGTCCGCAATTTTAGTCATCTAAAATACTTGGTGAATAGTCTCACCCTCCACTCCCTCTCTTGTTTATTTTGTTTGAGTTTTCTTATTCTTTTCTTATTTTTCTTCTCTCCGATCGATCTAGATGTGGACCTTTCTTCTCCCAGTCTAGTTTTAGATACAAGAGTTTGATCTCCCTCGATTTAATTTTAAACTTAGGATATGTCCTCTCTAAATTCAGATATGGGAGTTTAATAATGTTATTGGGGATTTCATACCTATGTGCTCTGTTCGTGTACAGTTTCTCTACCTCCAATTTCAATGGTGATGGCAAGAGCTCTTGCGTCTTGCTAAACTACGAAGATGTACTTTTTCCAAATATTAGATCTGTGTTTGTTCAACCTATTTTCATTGTCTCCGTACGGTGATGATGTAGCAGAAGCCAAACATATGCATGCACTTCCAACTAACATTGGAGTAGGAATTTTTGGCTTGTGCTCATCACTGACGATGATACGAGATCCAGTGATCAGCCGTTGATTATTTTGCTTGACAGATCCGTTCTTATGGAACGAGTGTGTGCTTAACCCTATTGCTACTCTGTTGATCCTATTTGTTTACTGGATTTGGCTTTGTTTTGTATTATTTTGGGCTTTACTCTATTTCGATTTGCTTTGCTATAAAAGTTGATGTACTTCTCATGTATTCTTTATTAATGAATATAATTTTTTTCGACAAAAAAAAAAACCTTTCGTGATTACTTATTCAATGATGTCAATATGTAATAAGTTCTGTAAAATGGAGTTTTGGGATTTAGCTACATAATCACAACCTCCATTTCCTCTCACTTCCCTTAACATTAGTTAGACACATAGATTTATATTAATTAGATAAAAATTAATACGATATATTATTTAATAAATCTAAACTCCCCATCTAAGAAACATAATTTGTTTTTCTCTTATATATTATTGCCGTATAATGTTTCTATTAATAAATAAGGGCTATGAGAATTGTGTAAGGTAATATCTACTTTTATGTTCAAGTTATCAATTTACCAATAAATTTATTTATGCACATTTTTACTATATTATCTCATATGTATTTATTACATTTTATATATAAAAGAGGATTTTCTGCAATTAATGAGGATAATTAATTAGCTTATATCTATAGCTATTTTATGACGCTTTATTTTACTTTTAATTTGTTTTGTGAAAATGATGAGGTCAAATGAGTTGAGATCTCAAATGAGTTATGAGAAGATGCACGTCTCTTCGAGGGCTAAGGTAAATTTAATGGGAATAAACTATTTAAGTACATCAAGGTGCTTGCAACGATAGGTGACAAAGTGAAAAAAAATAAACTAAATACAAATTAGTAAACCAATGCAAAATCCAATTTTTGAGAGCAAGGACAACTATTTAAAAAGTCCTAAAACTATTGTATGACGGCCAATTCAGTTCTAAATTTTTCAGTTTAACCAATTTAGTTATAAACCTTTTGACAAATGTAGTTCCTGTCAATTTTGGTTGAAAATTGTTGATACAGATGTTGGCTGTGCCACGCTGCGTGGAATTTTTTTATATTTTACGTTATGAATCTTTTTTCTTTTTTTTAAAAGATTTAAAAAAGGAAAAGGAAACAAAAAATAAAAAAATTATAAAAAACACAAAAATTTTGAAATATAAAATTGCAAAAATTGTTCACGTTGACCGTGGCACATAGGACAGCCATCGTCCACGTTAGCAATTCCGGACAAAATTGGAAGGATGCACTACATTGACAAATCGTCAAAATGTTTAGGACTAAATTGACCAAATTGAAAAAGTCTAAGACTGAATTCGCATTTGTACAATAGGTTTAAGACTCTTTTTTGGTAATTTTCCAAAGAATGTTAATAATGTTTATCCGTTTAATGATAGTTTAATTATTTTTAATAATTTTTACTCTGCCAAGATGGAAACAAAAATCAAATCATTTTCACAAATGAACTAACTTTCGATGACCCCGCTCTCAATTTCTACTTTTTTTGTCCTTTTTGAGAAAGAACAATATTTTTCACAAAAAGAATCTCTTTTTGAATGGCAAAATCACTGTCAAATTTATGCTACGACAACCAAGATTTTTTTTCTCGATCAATGAAATGGGTTTTGGCATCTTTTCAATTCAGAAACGTGGCAAAACTCATTTTCATTAAAGCAAAACAGTAATTCTTTTCCCCCTAGTTCATAAGATTTTTTTTTGGGTCAAACCCTAGTTCATAAGATTTAAAGGTTGTTCAACGGCTAAGTGATTATAACAGGCACGTCTAACGCCTTCAGATTCGCTTGTGAGAAGCAATGTCACTAAACAACACTTACTACCGAAACAAGAAACAAAAAGGACATTCGCCACAATGCTCTCATATTTAAACACATATATTTCCTTCAATTCCTTCCAAATCTATAATGGAATTTGTATCAAATTCAACATAGGAATTGTGGAGAAACAAACCTTAAGTCTATGAGAATGAATAGTAAATCGATGAAATCATTCAATTTACGACTAAATGAATTACCTAGTTTTATCTGTTTGTGAGAAAGTAATCTTCCGATTCAGGTCCAAAGTGTAAATTCTTTTTCTCCCTATGTTATCCTATCAAATGCAACTTTGAGAATCAAAATTAAGAGAATCTGAGATGTTGAGGGTTTACTTTACTTGTGTTAAGGCCTAAACCTTTTCACTTAGCTAAAATGTCTTGACCCATCTATCTATGATTATATATATTTGGAAGGATTTCATATACGATAATTATTATTATCATCTTCTTTTTGTGTGTGGTGGGTTTGTGTCTCACCGTCTCCAAACGAGAAATCAACTTTTCTCAATAAATCGATTCCAACGCAACAGAAAAGTTACATGAAAGGGAAAAAAAAACCAAAATCAAGGTTGCAATTGCTATAAAGCGAATACAAGTTTTTAATAAATCTCATGCGAAATTGGATCTTAAATAAACTTACAGATTTGAGAATTTTCACTACAAAAAAACATGAATTTTGCGACGGGGAATTTTTCGTCGCTAATTTGAGACAAATTTTGCGACGGATTTCTAAATCCGTCGCAAATTAGCGACGAAAAAGCGACGACAAAATTTCCATCGCAAATTTGCGACGAATTTTGCGACGGATTTATTTTCCATCGCTAATTTGCGACGGAAAATAAATCCGTCGCAAATTTGCTACGGAAATTTTGTCGTCGCTAATTCCATCGCAAATTAGGGACGACCAATTTTGCGACGGATTTATTTTCCGTCGCTAATTTATGCATCGAAATTTACCATTTTGCGACGAAAGTAGCGACGGATTTTTTTACCGTCCCTAATTTGTGACGGAAAAAAAATTCGTCGCTAATTTGCGATGAAAACAAATTCGTCGCTAATTTGTAATTTATGACGGAAAATAACTTTCGTCATATCCACCCGACCCTTCAATTTCTCTCTCTCTCTCTGTACTGATTCCTAACATCTCCCGCTTTTCTCTCCCCTTCTCCCTCTTTCGTTTCTCTCAATAATCCGTGCGCGCATAAATCAATATCGGTAAAGCTTTTCTACCGGTAAGTATCGTAGCTAATTTCGTGACTAATTGGCGACGAATATGGTTCGTGACAAAACTATTCATGGCTGGATTGGGAATTTTTTTTTATTGGATATTTTTTTTTTGTAAGTTCTTGGTCGGTCGCCGTTCCGGCGACCGGCCACCTGCGAGACCTCGCCAGCCATGGGGGGAGGCCGAGCGGCCTCGGCTCATGGCCGCGAGGCCGTTCGGCCTCCCCCCTTGGCGGTTGACCTCGCCGTCGCCCAGATCTGGGCGACGGTGAGGTCGACCGCCACACTTGGGCGAGGCTGCCGGTCGACCTCGCCGGCCATGGGGCGAGGCCGCTCGGCCTCGCCGGAGTCAGCCGGTCGCCGGACCGGCGACCGGAGAAAAAAGGAAAAAAGGGGAAAAAAATTAAAAAAATTCGGAAAAAAAATTATTAAAAAATGAAGGCTAAGTGATTTTTCTTTTATTTAGGTACGTGTCCAATTGAATGTCTCGCAATCCAAGTAAACATTGCAATTCTCATCAAATTGACTACTTTTTGCTATCAAGATTTCAGTCAAATATTTGGGTAAGTCTTCTTTACATGGTAATTTTTTAAATTTTTTAAATTTTTTAAATTTCAAAGTAATTGTTGCGTGAAAAACAAAAGTTTAATTTTCATAATTTTATGGTTTTAATTAAGAACAGTAGATATGATATTTTAAATATTTTACGAGATTTTTTTTATTTTAATACAGACACAATGCAAAGAGACAGGGCTTTGATGTATAATAAGAACTTATCTGGACGTCGAGGATTGACCGATGAGTTTCGTACTGAGTTGGAACTACTTTTAGACTTTGCTAGTAGTAAATATGAGTTCATGGATGGAAATAAGTCAAGGTATCCGTGTAAAAAGTGCAGTAATGGTAAATTTAATGTGTGTAATAAAGTTAGAGAACATCTTTGTAGATTTGGGTTTACTCCGAATTATTATAATTGGACTTACCATGGTGAACTATTTATATCTGATGAAGGATATCGAAGAAGTGACCAATTTTTAGTTAGGGAAGAATGTAGCTATTATGACCAATTGAACCCATACGAGAGGATGATGATTGATGCAGCTGGTCAGAATTTTGTTTCAGAATCGAACCATACAAGTACTAGTTTTACTCCTACACTTGAACAAGTGGGTACTAGTCATGCATCACAATTGAAAGAGCTAGGAGTAACGGGTTTTGATGAGAATGTGTAATGAAACTTTTTCATCTAATCAGCTCTGGGAAGTGTTGAAAGCAACAGATGAAACCTTTATGGGCAGGTTGTGACAACCACACTAAGTTATCAGTGATAGCAAGACTG